GTAAAAAAATTCATTTTTTTGAAAATTTTTGCCCGTTTGACCTTGAAATAAAGGTCAAAGGTCAAATCCAAGGGCATATTTGAAATCTACACATATGACTTTTGGAAAGCTGTCTGTAGAAATTTTTCCCATATTTCCTTCCGTAGGGTAGATAATTAGCATTTAATTTTGCCATTTTTGGACAAGGGTGCATTGCAATGAGTGCCACACCTAGACCCCAATACCGACAAAGCCCAAATTTTACGTGGAACGAGTTGAGATTATAGGTGACCTAAATCCAAGAGATGGGTATGGGGGCCCTTACCGTCTAGGAGGAGAAGCGGTAACGGTAACATGGTGGCGGAGCCGGCGGAGCCGCAGGAGCCGGCGGAGCCGGGGGAACGGACCGGACGGGACTAAAACCATGTGTACCGCCAGCGCTAACGCTGGTGGTACAATAATTTAAATTGATACATACAGCGCTAATGAAACTCTTCTCTCATGAATTAGGCAAGTGACTTAATAGCTCTGAACTTTGTGATTACCCAAGGTAAAATTACAGACTGACCACTCAAATATGACTAGCAAAGATCTTCAGGCCCCTGAAATTTCTAAGTCACACCTTAAAAAATACAGAAAATGCACAGAGCCTCTGGTGGATGTGAGTTAAAAGTCACATCTTGAAGAAGGCAGTGTTTGAAAAATAATTTTAAAAAATTAAAAATAAAACATAACAAAAATATTCCAATAAAGCTGCTATTCAAACTTTTAATCTAGCTGTACTAAAATGATATGATAAGCCCAATGAGTTTGAGAATAATAAGGTACTGTTATTCATTTATAGCATTCATATTGGCGTTACACAAAATTTTTCTTTTGTTAACTTATTTGCAACATTAAACAACATTTACCTGCATAATTATCACTGATTCCTAATCATGTGACACTGTTAAGAGAGCTAAACCTTTGGGACTTTACTGGGAAATCTCAATGTGTGTTTTATGTAATCTCATTTAATGGCCACTTAAAGTAAATTAGGCAAGTGACTTAATAGCTGTCAATTTAGCTAATGATTACCCAAGGAACAATTACATACTTAACACTGTCCATATACAGAGGCACCACACAGCACTCTGTGAAACTGAATATTTCATAATATAAAGAAATGCATTGCTTTCAAAACAGAAAACAATCACAATGAATTTCCAACCCAAGCTGCACTTCAGTCCTATGAATCTTTTCAGTAAGTTTGAGAATCACAAGTAACATGGTTTTCCCTGAATGGTCATCCCGGCAGCAGTGTCCAAAATGGGGTGTCTTCTATTTTGATACAATTTTACATAAGACCATCAATTTTGAATAATAAAATAAAAGTATCAATGTGACATGGAAAGGTCTTCAAAGCAATGGGAGTTCAAAGTTACACCTTCAAAATGCCAAAATGTAAACAAGAGATAACTGTACTGAACTGATTTTCTTTCCATTTTCAATACCTTTTTTTACATAAGACAGAATTATCAATTTACAGTCATTTTTATATGATCAACTAAGAAAATTGTTGAGACAATTTTAAATGTCCAATTTGCTCCATTCTGACATTCTGCAATGATATGAGTTTATTTCCAATCTTGGCACTTTATTACACAATACACAATAAGAGGTTTAGCATCATTTTAATATAATCAACTAACAATATTGTTAAGATGCAGAAAATGTCAAAATAACACTATTATATATCTAATCAGTTCAATAATGAAACTGTTCATATACCTAAGAATTAAATCTGTGTCTGTACATTAAAAGGAAAATCTTTCCAAATAATTAACTTGTGTAAAATTTGTTAAGAATTGGAATAACTTCATATGTAAAATCTGTCTAGTCAGCCTGTATCGGTTGCCATTCAATGGAACCAAAGTCTACTCTGCAGATTACCAGTTAACCTTCAAAGTAACCTCAAGAATGCTGTGCACTCACCTGCTCCAACATAGTTGACAGCTTTAGCTGCTCTCACTGCGGCCTCCCCCAGCTGCACCCTCACCTCCTCACTGAGCCCTGGCTGAAGAAATTAATGGATACAAATTAGGAATTAAGATAACTGAAGTTAACCAGAGGTTGGACTCGGAGAAGTTCAGGAATTAATGGATACAAATTAGTAATTAACAATTGGATTAAATGTAATTCTATGATATAAATATAGGTGAGGAGATGAAATGAGAATGCACAGTGCGCATGTGTGACAGGTTTTGAATCATTTTTGCATGATTTCTTCAGAAGTTTAATATTAAACTTCATTCCCCGATAATAGTCTGCATCAGTATTATCATGAGTTATGTAAGTAGGGAGGGTGGGAGAGGCATTTCATCTCCTCACCTACAATTGTCTCATAGAATTACAATCAGACATCAACTTACAGGTAAGTTTCGTTTAATTTTTGAATTCTATATCAAACAATTATTTTGGTTCGTCATGAAATGAGACTTTAAAGCACAAATCATGCAAAAATAAAACATGGCATCATGTTTAAATTCAAACAAGAAAACTTTATTGGTTATCAAACACATAAGTAGTTTATAAATGAAATGACTTAAGACCTTTGCTTATCCAATTTAAGTACAGCTTTCACCACTGTCATTTTTGACTATTTCTTTGTCATAAAATCTTGTAAACGTACAACCAGCATGTTTCATCAGTTTAGCTTTAGAGGTTATTGCTGCTCTAACACTATGAGCACCTTACTTCACAATATCTGTTCCTGACCTTATTAAGACCACTTTAATCCACCGTGCAATAGTGTCCTTTGACACTGCATTATGTGGTTTTCTGAAACTTATTAACAACCTGTTTTCTTTACAGTGTCTCAACATTTAAGTACGTTTCAAGTACTCTTTCATGACAGTGTACACACAAAGTCTCCTATCAGGAGGGTAAGCTTTTCAATGAACTTTGGAAAAATTAACTCCCGGTCTACTCTGCTTAAGTAAACCATCACAACAGAAAACATGTTCAGACGTCAACTTTTTAAAATTCTTAACAGTCAACAACAGTACAGTCTGAATCCTGGCGGCGAAGTTTCAAAGTCAGGTCTTTCAAACTAATATTACGTACAGGCGACAATTTGCGCAAATCACATAAAACTTGATCAATATCCCAAACATCCACATGGCTACTTGTAGGTGGGCATAGGTTAAGGGGGGAATGTAGGTTGGAAATGTTCTCTTAAAATAAAGGTCTTAGCTTTTTTATTCACATTCATTTAATGTATTAGCTTGTTTGCATGCATTCGGATGTCAGAAAATGTTATTTTTGTATCAATCTCACCTCCTGTTAGTAACTTCAAGGGGTTTCCTCTAGCACTGCCAGAATGATTGACAGGCAATCAAGTAAGCTGTAACTACTCAACCAATCAGTGGCCACGTCAATTGACATCGGGGCAAGTGTTAGGGATGCACTCTAGATGTGCACACAATATAGCATCATTACAGATAGTCTTGTCCACATTCACCGAGTGAAAAATGGTTCAAAAACACGGTCGTGTTGCAGGACGCCGATCGGACCATCAACAACAAGAAAAAGATGCAACCAGGCAGGGCTTGTTAGAGGAAATGTGTAAAGTTGTATTTGTCAGAAATTGGCATAATTATTGAAGAAATAAAAAAACATGTCCGACTTGAAAGTGCATACATGCATCCAGAACTGTACCTCGCGGGATACCAGCATTTAGGTTGAAAATGCTAGGGCTTATTCTCCAGCTCATATCTCATAGCCAAAATGAATAATTCTGAAAAATCAAAATGTTATAAATACTACAGCCCTCATTTGATCTTAGCTTACTTTTGTTCACACGGAAAATGGAGTCTATTTGCTCTATTTGCTTAGGTTTTTTTGTACATGTACTGAAATTTTACGCCACCCAATGAAAGGCTATGCTAGTATATGGGCTCAAGTCTTTTCAAAGCAATCTTGTATATTATTCCAGTCAGTATTTGACGAAATATTAACAACGATGTCGCTCAGAAAAAGTCCAAAACACAGAAATTATCACCATGGTCACAATCATAGAGCCAAGTAATCATTAGTTGTCAAGTTAAAGGTTTGATAAACATGCCCTCAATGCTAGGCTAGATGGCCCAAGTTGCACAGATCTATAAAATCTGACGACTGTTTAGAGCTGCTGTCGAAGATTGATCGCTAGTTTGACGGTTGCTGTCACAGGTAGCAAGCAGAGGAATGTTTCTCTTTTTTTTCGTATCTCCAAATGTTAAGAAGAAAATCAAAAGTACATGTATAGCAACAAGCAATTCAAGGAAAAACATGCATTTTGAGCAAATCCAATGTGTCAGAAAATATTCTCCTTCGCGCTGATCACAATCAAGAGTGACTATCAAAACGGCTTAAGCGGAACAATAGGCAATGCTTTGCTGATCACTGTTTATGACAAAGGGAGTATGACACGTTCTTGTTTTATTGTTTGGCGAGTCGTGCTGATGCTGCTAAGGTCCTCCCACTGAGATTACCCATGCCAATGGCCCTTGGCAACGAAGGTGGGGCATAGACCAGGCCGCCGGTGCCGATGAGTGCAGTATCAAAATACTCAGAAAAAAAAAATTTTTGTTCAAAATGTAAAAAGGTTATTCCGTTAAACCTTAGATACAGATTTAACCAATAATTAGACATAAAAAACCACAAAATGATGATTTTTTGTGATATTTGGGTACATTCCCCCCTTAAATGCACCTTTCATATAACGGATAACTTGTGGGTGCGATCCTGTTGTATACTGTTCCAGTAAAATTTCAAGTGATGAGAGGGCACTCCTGGCTGTATTCAAGGAACTATATCCTAAGCCCTTGTTATACAGATCACTCAAAAACTCAATAACATCATTCACAGAAACATAAAGTGAATTAATGAAACCATTTTGATAAATATGTCTTGTACTGACATTTAGTCTTTGCTCTCTTTGTTGCCATAAAAATGTTAATTGATTGTTCTGAAAATCCACGGTCTCTAAAAGACTTCCTGATAACTTGCATGCAATCAAGGTCATTTGGTTGGGTAGTGGATGAACTTTCTCTGAAAACTGCAGCATCAAAGTTTCTTCCACCGGTGGTAAAATCAAAGGAGCTTTCACCAGCATTAACATCAACATTGGCCACCATATTTCTGTTGTCCACAGTGGTACCACCATAACAGCTCTTGCTTTGTCTGTTTTTATTTTCTGTAGACACCTTGTTATAAGGCTGAAAGGAGGAAAAACATAACAAAGTTCAAAAATTTTCCAATTTAAACTGAATGCATAAATAAATGTGGCATCAGGATCTGGTGTCCAAGAACAAAATTGTTCTACTTTTTGTTTATGCTTGTTGCAAATAAGTCAACTGTAGGCTGACCGCTATGTTCACGTATCTTGGTGAATATAACATTTTGTAATTCCTGCTCAATGTTATCCTTAAATCTCCATAAAGGCTCATCTGCTTAATTTTGAATACCTGGTATATGTGAATACATAATCCAAATGTTATGTTTTATACACCAATTCCAAATTTGTTTGCGGAGTTCATCACAACTTGGAGATTTAATTCCCAAAAAATTATTTATGTATAGGAATCAGCAGTAGAAGAATCAGTTAATATTTTTATATATTTTCCCTCTTTCTGTGGCAAAGGGACTTCAAAGCAAACAAAACAGCACGTAATTCTAAAACATTCATGTGACTTTTTGACTCAGGATAAGTCCATCTGCCACCTATTTTAATGTCATTCATTACTGCACCCAAGCCAAACATGCTGCTATCAGTCTATATAACAAGCTTGGGATTTTCTCTACAAATAACTTGTTCCTGTGTTTTAATATTTTTTACCCACCACTGACACTTCATATCAATTGTAATGTGCATCTTAGCATTAAAATTGCATTTATTTTTGCCTTTTCCAGTACTCTGTAACGAAGTTTTCCCAACTCAACTGGTGAAAAGGAGGCAACTAAAAGTCCAATGACTTTAGCCACTTGTCTGATCTTTTCAAATTCACAATAATGCAATTTCAAACATGCATCATTTATTTTATTCTTTATTTCATTTGGTAAATATAACAACATCTTTCTGGAGTCAATTATATTCCCCAAGTAGGTAATCTGCCTAGATGGCAAGAGCATACTTTTTTTCAAAATTTATCATAAATCCTAGCCTGGATAGCAGACTGATATTGGCATGTGAATTTCTCATACAAAGTTCACTAGTCTCAGCACCTAACAGAGTATCATCAATGTATGAGGTGCTAATGTAACCTTCATTACGTAACATACACATTTCATTTACTTGGTAAAAAGGCCTGGACCTGGACGAACCCCATTTGGCAACGCCCTGTACTGATATAATTGTCCTCTCCATTAAAAACAAAAATATTTTTGTTGTTTAACTGCCAGAGGTAGTGAATAATATGCCATACTTATATCTACTGAACAAAAATACATTTTTTTAACAACATGCAGTGCACTTTCAAAATTTTCCATCTTAAAATGATGATAAGGAAGAAACATGTTTAATTTCTTCAAAATCATTCTAAATAATCCATTTTTCTTCTTGGTTAAGAAAATAGGTGAAAGATACTGGTCAGTTTGATAGCTCACTGGCATAATAACTTTATCTCTGACCAACTTAGCTATTTCATTATCAATTACTTCACTCTCAAGTTTGTTAAAAATAGATTGAGAGAAACTATGTTGCGTAGGCATAGCATTTTCACTAGAATCAAAGTGGCAATGTTTCACTATGTCAAGAATATTTTTGCCATGCATAATGTTTCACATTGAGAGGAGAAATATTTCAATCTATCTCCAACTTTATAATCTACTAGGGTACTTACCCTTGAGTCCTTGCATCGAACTCCCTTTTTTGACTCACTGCCATGGGTCGTCTGATACCCTGAGAACTTTCCAGTGTACCTGCCTTGCTGTTTTCAAGCATACTTAGCATGCCCGACATGAAAAGTCTTGTTTTTACTGGGTCTATAGTTTCCTTTATAAACCTCTCTTTTGCCTTGAATTTTATTCCCTATTTTGGCTCAGTATTCCAACTCTCTAGTCGTTTGTAAGACATCATCTCCAAACAGTTCAGTGGTGAATGGTACAGCAGGATAACACAAATGGCTGTACTCCTTTTTGATAACAGGTTTAATGCAACTCCTCCTAATCATACATATCTGTTGATTATAGTACCCAAAGAGAGACAATTCATCTTTGCATAAATCCAATTGATACACTATTAGCTTCCCCTTGAATGTCATACTCTGACTCCGAGCCTGACTGAAAACCAGAAAAATCAAGTTCAGCTATCTTACTTGTTGCTTGAGCGATAAGTATGGAGCCTTTCACCAGAGATGTGCCCACTATCTAGAGCATCTTGTCTGCGTGTCTGATTTGCGGTGTGCATAACTTCCATATCAACTTATTGCAACGGACTGTGGCGAGTGCTTGGCAATTGTCTGGCCTTGCAATAATCTCAGTTAACTTCTCAAATTGAGTATCCTCCAATCCCTGGCGAAACAAATCATTATATTTGCTGCCAGTGTTTCATCCAATGGAGGGCCCACGGCATCTTCCCCTTTAAACCACTTGTCCATATCCGCAAATTTGCTTTGGGAATCTACCTCATTCTCAAGAGGTCGCTTAGTATCAGAACACTGACCATTGTTGTCAAAGTTGTAGTCAAAGGACATGCCAGGTAAAACATCCCTGTACAGTTTCTTCAATAACCATAATCCTAGAGGAAAACATGTCTAATTTGGTATCGTTTTTCACTCAGACTTAGCAAGTATTCTAGAATCTTAGATTCTTGGTTAGTTGCGGTTTTCGTAGCAACACTAGTGGTCTTTACAACAGCACTGGTTGATTTCTTACTATTTTTAGCCACTTGTTTCTCTTTCGAGCCTTCAGCTATCTCTTTTTTCTCCGACATGTTGGAAAAAAGATGTATTGTCAAAAAAGACAAAATACACAAAAATGTATTGACAAAAATGTCAAAATATATACACACAAGAAATTTCTTGTTAACCACACACTTCCAACCTCATGCTTCTGACACGCATGCTCACTGTGCATTCTCATTTCATGACGAACCAATATAATTGTTTGATATTGAATTCAATAGTACTGGGTGCACAGATTAATTTTTCAGGACTTGCCATGTTGGTAGGTGACTCAGGCCAATGCCTTCCAGCAATAGCCAAAATTTCCAAGTGCCACAAATGCATGTTTTACGGTATGTTTTAATGAAATGTTTTTTGAAAAAGCAAGGAATTCATCACATATTTCATATCCATGATTTAAATTGAGGTTATTTACAACTTTTATCAAAGCAAGTTTGCAAATAACTAGTTTTTCCTTTACAGCCATTCCACGAAAAAGGGTACAATTCTGAATAATACCTGTCGCAGCTTATTTTCGGTAGTAAAAGCATCTGCAATTTTGCTTTTTTTACCCTTTTTTAGCAGGACCCGATGTGTTCTACTTAAAAAACAACAATTAATATAGTACCACTTGCTTTGACGGGAACCCCGGGGGTCTATATGCCGCAAAAAGCACGATTTCGACGTGTCGCTTCGGTATTATAGCTTATTTGCCACAAGAAAAAGTTTATATTTTCCCATGTTTTAGTGTTTTTAGTCCTCAACTAATTTGAATCTGTCGAATTTGTTGGTTAGTTACGTCACTGTCATAGTTAAATCAATGTCGCTCAGTAACCCCTAACCTCCGTAACGCTTTTTTAAGTCAATGTAAGAATAAAAGAAAATGCTCTTAAATGGCCTTCCTGTGCATTTTTCAAACTCATAATACATGAAGTTTAATAAAACAGTGCTATTTGTTAATTTTGAATGATGCGTTCCATCATAGAGAATGTTAACTCACAAAAGTCGGGGTGTTGCATTTAAGAGCCTAACCTCAGTAACGGACCAAATTTGAAGAAAATGTTGCTTTAGAAAGTTAAAAATATCATTTTTGTTAAGCAAGGACCAACTTCTTCCTAAAAAATTCATTCAATAGTTATGCAAAGTTATCCCGAGGATAAAAACTGAAAAAGAATGCATGTCACCTTACGTCCGTTATGCTAACCTCCGTTACGAAATAAGTTAATTGTTATAAAAATGACTGTTAATACTTTAAAACGTTATTTCTGTGGTTTTGTGAGTTAATTCTGATCATATATGTAGTTCTACTTCTATGTTCTGATGTAGTATGCATTCAAACTGCTTGCTGTTAAAGACATTACCCGGCATTAATATAGATATAAAATATACATATATAGCTGATAATTCTATCAAGAAAGGCTAATGATTTAAGTTTTTACTCCAGTTTGCTATAAAATCGAGGGTAAATTGTGATTTGTTTTATTGAATTGATTTCCGTTTGTCACTTGACGATGCCTTTTTAAACTTATCATTCTGATTTTAAGCGAAATGAGTAGTTTTCAGGACTGTCTTGGCAAGAAAAATGGTACTAGCTGACATCAGTACTAACGTGCATGTAGCAGACATTATTTTCGCGGGAGACATATGGCGAAATATATTAAGCATTGAAGCAACAGTTACATTTATCAGGTAGAACTGTGGGATTATTAGGTCCTATTTTACTATTTAAGTAGCACATAATAGTTTTTATCATCTTCTAGATGCTTCCAGTAACTTTAAATGGACAGTTATTGGCAAACACGTGTCTATTGTCGGTCTACTTGATTGTATGCATCAACTTTCTCGGGTATTTTGTTGTTTTTTATTGCCTATAACTGCGATCATGTGCATGTAGGTTTAATGTTTTGTTATACAGACATCAATATGCCACTTACAAATGCAGAGCGACAAAAACACTACAGAGAAAGAAAAAAATCTAATGACCGCGAAGTTTTTCTTGTGAAAGATTTTGAACGGTTTAAATGTATGACATAATTTAGACAAGAGTTTTACCTTACCTCTGTTACTAAGATTATAAATTAAACTCTTACTCTGGTAAAATATGGAATGTGAATTCTACAGATACATAGATCACCATATTAGCGGTGAAATGTATCCAGTAGTGGTAAATGTATTTATGTAGTCCTTGAAAGTAAGCAAAACCACCCCGTTGTAACCATTTGCCATTTAATGGTTTGAATAAACATGTTTTATCAATTTTTCTATTTTATTATGTAAATTTGTCGTATCTGTAATACTATAAATTCAAAATTCAACTTCTAAAGTCTACCTTAAGCTAAAAATATCAAAACAAATATATGATCACTGACCTATGTAGAATGACCTAACCTCCGTTACGAAATTACTCATTTTTCATTTGAACACTGGATATGTGTGTGCTCATTGATCAATGCTCATATCATAATAGATTGATAGCCCTCTGTTCATAAACAAATAGTATGATAAAAAAAGCAAGTCTCTCCCCAACGATTAATAAAATATTTAAATTGGAATATCTCAGCCTTTGTATTTATAGAAAACGAGCCACTTATTACCAATGTGTTTGCACCGCATTTTCTATAATTGAAGAGAAATCTTAAATGGGCAATAATATTTTGAATACATACAAAATCTTAATAATTGAATCAAATATGGAGCCTGTGACCTTTGGCATGATTGAAATATAACCTAATTTAGAAGTTACCTAACCTCCGTAATGAAAAAAAATACTGTACCATGTTTACACGTGCATATTTCTTTAAATACAGTAATGGTGTGGGTTAAAATTCTTATACTACTCTCTGAATACCTCTTCATCAAAATAATATAAAAAGTTTTCCAGTTTTGCAAAGTTCATATTGCTGCATTTCTTGTTTTGGAATTGGACCCCTTTTCGTGGAATGGCTGTTTATCTCCTTTTGTTGAGTTATCAACAAAAATAATTTGCAAATTTTGATGCTACATAAACAGTACACATCATAGATTGTGGTCTGGATGGGAGTACTAATTTTAGTAGATACAGGGACAAGATCCACGTATCCAAATAATACATCTCGAGTACCCTATGTTATGGTTCCTTCAGTACATTGCCCATGGGTGAAAAATCTTTTTGTACTTGGTGGTCAGATTTTCTTTTCCCAAAGGAGAGTGGAAACTAAAGGATCCAACACGTCTCAGATTCCTCCTGAGGAAACCTGGTGTTACAGTGGATTGGAGACTTGGAGCATTTAGTGCTTGGGTATTTCATCAAGCATACGGGTAAAGAGGTCATGGGTATATTCCTCAGAACCTAGCTATACACATAGGTCACTGCAGGTTGCAAAAATTGGAAGGTTTCTTCCAATTCACACATTGATATTTGTCTTACATGAAGCACTTATGGTCCACATGTGTGTGATTTGAGTACAGTTTATGAGCTTATTGGGCGCAGTTTCATCAACTCTTCTTATAAGCATGCTTGGCATTTTGTAACCTTTTCCAGCATGGAGGGGAATGACACCACCTTACAGTTACATGGTATTATGGAAGAGGTGCGCATGATTTTTGTACAGCTATATGGTTTTTGGGGTCTTTAGATATGTCCAAAGGCCCTGCATATTTGCTTCTTGCAAAGCAGATCTTAGGTCTCTCCTCCCAACTGAGGATGCTCTTCATTTCTATACTTTATGATCTTTACCCTTACCAAAATATTAGGCCAGTTGCAAATTTGCTGCAATATTCTGCAAATTAGCAGAAATAAAATTTAGATCTAAAATCTAGACTTAATGATGTGGGGCATAATAAATTGCTAAACAGCAAAATGCATAGTTGTGGCAACCATCTGTATTCCCAAAAATAAATTGCAACTAGAAAGGCACTCCGAGAGCACAGACCTCCGCCAAGGCAGCAAAGTCTCCACCCAATGTCGTTTCACCCCTAAATTTTCATTCTATAATGATTAGGTTTTTTTATTTTTGATTATTGATTGATTATTGATTCGAATCACCACCACAAACTAATCATCTGTTCCTTGGCCTACTTCTGACAGTTCCTGAAAATTTCATCAAAATCAGTCCATATCTTATTTTATTTTTGATTATTGATTATTGGTTGATTATTGATCCAGATCACCACCAAAAACTAATTACTTCTAAGTTAACCCATTTCTGACCTACCCTGAAAATACCATCAAATTTCATCCATAATTTTTTCAGTTATGTTGATGACAAAGAAACAAACAAACAAACAAACGAGTGAAAACAACCCACTTGGCGGAGATAACTAAAACACCAATGTAATAAATGAAACTAGTATCTATTGCACAGTTCAATGAATGTTGTTTGAAGTTTCAATAAAATATGAGTTTACCTTTGATTCCATGAAGTGAAATTGGCATGGAATCGGATAATTATTGTACAAACCTTCGAGCTTCTATTTGATAAACAAATAAATAGATAATGATGTTGTTCTAGACATCTACACGTACTTTGACAACATAGTTGTTATGCTATAAAATACAATGGTCCAAGAACATGCATATGAAAGTGAAAAAAACTTGTAAATAATTGACTGTGAATAAACATGCCATCTTAAATTTATCTGCAAAAAGTGAAAAAATTCTCATATACCCATATATTGTAAAATAAAAATGAAATGTACTTCAACAAAGGAGATATTTCAATTTTTTGATGAGATACGTGACTTTGATTCATATGAAAGTAATGATAAGGGATTTATGGTGGCCATTTTGGGTGTTTCTATAAGCATAAAGCCTTCATTCTGTATATAGATAGTAAAAAAAAAATGCAGGAAGTTAGGGTAGAGTATCTTTGTTTGATGACATTTTGCTTCAAGAAGATTGAATGAAATTCTGACATAAAGAAAAGGAATTAAATTGCAAAATTGGTCAAATTTTGGCTGCCATCTTGGATAGAGTGGCCATATTGGATTAATAGGCAGTCTATAATTAACCTTTATAAAACTAAAACAAGTGTACTTTACCCATATGTTTTAAAATGAAAGTATAATATACTTCATTAAATGAGATATACCAACTTTTGATATGATATATGTTTCGCCTTTGACTCATATTGGTAAGGGATCTGTGCCAGCCATATTGGATTTTTCTCTTATCATCAAACTTTAATTATGCATTCAGATAGTAAAAATGCAGACAGTATTGGAGAGATTCTATATTTGATAAAATTTAGCTTTTTCCATGATTGAAAGTAGTTCTAAATTACAGAAACCATGACTTTATTGCAAAAACTTATGAAAATTTGGCCACCATCTTGGATAAAGTAGCCATCTTGGATTGAGATAGTTCTTTGAATTTACCTTTAAAATATTGAAACAAGTCCCTTTTACCCAAAAATTGTAAAATAGAAATCGCATTTGCTTCATTAAAGTAGACATTTGAACTTTTCTGTAGAAGACAGATGGTATCCTTGACTCATAATGGTAAGGGGTGTGTGGCGGCCATATTGGATATTTTTGTAATCACAAAGCCTCTGTATTATACATAGATGGTACAAATGCAGGAAATAGTAGAGGCAATCTTTATTTGATAAATGTTTGCTCATATCATGATTGAAAGAAATTCTAGATCAATGAAAAGAGGATTTAATTGCAAAAAATGTTGAAATATTGGCTGCCATCTTGGATAGAGCGGCCATTTTGAATCCAATTGACCAATTCCTGCTACAGACAAATACTGCCAGTCATGATCAAGAGGACTGACAGTTTCTGCATGTCTGAATAGCAATTATGAATCAATAAACTGCATTAACTTTAAAGTTTGTGTAAATGATTGTTATCCAACACTGGTGTGAATGGTGCTTATCAACTCACCGCTGGCATAAAAGATTGTTATCAACTCAATGCTTATGTTAACGGTAGTTATCAATTCACCGCTGGGGAGAATGATGCTAATCAACTCACTGCTGGTGCCTCCTCTATGATCTTCTGGTGTCTTCTCTGCACACTGCAGTCTCGCTCAAATAAATAAACATGGTTGTCATGAAGATCTCCAAACACTTGCACCTCCACATGCCTGCAACAGACAATTTATAGTCATCAACAGGCAGTACACACAGTCATCAACAGACAGTACACACAGTCATTAACAGGCAGTACACACAGTCATCAACAGACAGTACACACAGTCATCATAAGACAGTACATACAGTCATCAACAGATAGTACATACAGTCATCAACAGACAGTACAAACAGTCAACAGATAGTACACACAGTCATCAACAGACAGTACACACAGTCATCAACAGACAGTACACAGTCATCAACAGATAGTACATGCAGTCATCAAAAGACAGTACATGCAGTCATCAACAGACAACACACAGTCATCAACAGACAACACACGCACAGTCAGTAACAGACAGTATACACAGGCCTACCCAACTACCAGACGCGGCATGGAAGGATCCAAAATTCACAGCAGATCTGATCATGCTACCTGTTTTCAAGGTGTGTATCAGTATGTGCTTCGAAGTATTAAAAGAGACACGCGTACCAGGCAAGAGGGTGCCGAATCTGATACTTCAAAACACTTTCTGTGCTGTGTCTGATAGCTGGATAGGCCTAACACAGTCAGTAACAGACAGTAGAGAGTTATCAACAGACAACACACATAGTTATCAACAGACAACACAGAGTCATTAATGTAAAGTGTCGATCTAATCTCTGGGAATGGGGTCTAATACTGATATCTGATCAAAAAGAACACATATTTATTGAGTCCATCAAGATGATCAGTATTGTACTAGTTGTATACATTTACACTGCCACACAAACAGCCTTTAGGAAACCTGTGACCTACACATGTGAAGATTATAATTATGACTGAAAACCACGTTACTCTCATGGAAATAACTTTTTCAGGTTTTTTTATCTCCTTTTTATCCTAAGCAACACATCTGACAATATCTCTTCAGTCTAAGAGCACTTGTTCTCACCTTGGCGTGTCAACAAATTTTTCTAGCAGCATAATGTCATCATTGAAGGACTTGATGGCTTCATTTTTGGCCGAATTTAGCTGTTCCTCAAATTCTGATGCTGTCATTGCAATTCTCATTCCCTAAAATGAATAAGATTACCTTTCCTATGCAACTTAAGGCCCATTCCCAATGACACTAGTCTATTGTTCTATGTAGATCAATTCAACTCTGGTTGAATGCAATAAGATTAACACACCTTCTCCTAGTGCTGTGTAGAATACAGAAAAGTTGGTGTTTATAGGAGTATGCTCAAAATGAGGGTTAATTTGTTCATGATGTCCAAAGATTTAGTGAGAGGCTTAGCCATGCTTATGTCTTAGGACAGATAAAACAAAAACTTTCTTTCCCCCTACCTTCCCTCCTCCTCCACGCACAGCTTTGATCATCACTGGAAACCCAATCTTGTCAGCTTCTTGCTTCAGGGTCTCCAGTGATTGGTCCTCGCCATGGTAACCATGAATGACTGGCACCCCAGCAGCTGCCATTATGGACTTGGATGTGCTAAAAAATGGATCATGACTTGTTTTGATGTCTTTTTATTTTTAACTTTTAATGGTCATTGCCTTTCTACTTGTTTTTCTCTCTCTCTCTCTTCCCAACCCACCTCTCTCTCTGGCTGCATTCACAACAGTGGACTAACTAGTCTGAGGGTCAAATATGGCAACCCACTTAACAGCTTGCTGTCTAATCAGCTAGGGGTAGTATTCAAGTCGGTCGGCCATAATTGACCCTCAGACTAATTAGCTCGCTGTTCTGAATGCGACCCCTCTCTCTCTCTCTCTCTCAAAAATGTACCTTTTAATCCCCATGTCTCTGATGGCAGAGGAAGGAGGACCTATGAAGACAACCCCTTCTTGTGCACACAGTTCAGCAAACTCTGTATTTTCTGACAAAAATCCATAACCTGGGTGAATTGCCTGGGAGATAGAGAGAACAACAGCATTAGCAAGCTCAGTGTCCCAGATATACTGTCTCTGTGTATATTACCTGAAACAATTGCCAAAACATTAACCAGCTCAGAGGCCCAGGCAGGCTGTGTCTGTGTATAGCACCTGACAGAAAAAGAGAGAGAGAACAAAGGCATTAGCAAGCTCAGAGGTCTTCACAGACTGTACATTGCCTGGGAAAGAGTGAACAACAGTTTTAGCAAGCTCAGACATCTAGACAGGCTGTTTCTAACACTGAAATAAACCAATATTCTAGAATCCATTACAGTGAATCACATTGTTGCTGTTAAGGCTTTAGATAGGGATTGACATATACTAAATGTAACTGCTCCAAACAACAACAAAGAAAAAAGCAGTTGTAATTCTAAGCTTACACCGCCAACCATTCCACATAAGCTGGCCCAATTTCACAAAAAACTTAAGTCAGTTTCCTGGCTTAGTTGACTAGGATTTCCATGGGAGTGCTGTTACACTGCTCCTTACAGGGTTAGATATACCCATGTGAGCCTGACTTAAGTTTTTTTGTGAAACCTGAGCCTGGTTTACCTGTGCTCCACTGGTCTTTGCAACCTGTAGAATCTTCTGCTGGTTAAGATAGCTGAGCTGGGAGGCTGCTGGTCCTATAGGGTATGCTTCATCTGCCTGGGGTAGAATGGATCTTACTTGACACATTATTTTCTTTTAATAATGATCATATGTTTGATCATATGATCAGACATAAAGGATGTATGGTCCTATGCATTGGCTTAAAGGGTTTGCTTCATGCCGTCAGAATGGCCTGAACGGAACATATTCTTCAGAAAACATGCCCAACTAATGATAACTTTATCCAAATACACAAATTAAAAGCTCATTTTGTAAATTTTTGGCTTTAAAAAACGTCCTATTTGCTCGGCCTGGGAGTTAATGAGCTACGTGGTCACGTGGTCCAATGACGACAATCGAGCCACTGGAGAACAGAGCGTGCTTAGCTGTCAAACTGAGCTGCATTGTCTACCTGTAAGATGACTTCTCTGGCCTCTGATAAAAGTTTATACTCATTCAAATCTCTTACCCGAGGGGTCTAAATCCTCGTGAAGCTGTGTAAAACCATTTCCCGTCTAGTCATTTCTTTAACAAGCATTTCATTATGGTTATCCCAAGTTGTATAAAACACTGCATTTGAATGAGTTAAGGGAAATGTTGATTATTGCATATGAGGTCCATGTTATTTGTGAAATTCAATTTATTTTATTAAACCGCTGACACTCCGTCTTGCATACTTTTATTAAACTGAGGTAAACAATGCCCGTTACCTTTACAAGTCCTATCTTAATCATCCATCTAACTGGAACTTCCTTTACCTCTTAATTAGAGGGTTAAATGGCATTCAATTTGTCTTGCTTGTATCGAACGCACTCTCTATCTAAGCTTTACTCCAGTTATCTCAGGTAAAAATCTACCTGTGCGTTAGTTACAAAGCGCAGCTCCCGTAGACCTGGGGGTACTAGATAAAATCTGAACACCAGGTTTATCGAGGAGCTAGAGAAAGAAAGGAAGAATTTTTCCTGCACAACTTCATAGGAATTTTAACACGGACTTGATCCAGCTTAGACCTCCAAACTAACAGGGTGACATGGGCAATTTTCACAAACAAATCATAAAACTATATTTCAGTTAACCGCCTTTAAAATAAATATACCGTTCTGGGTAAATTAAAATAGTTATTAAATCGCAAGAATATTTTTGACTTAAATGATGATTTTATTATTAATGGAAATTAAGCTACTATATGAGGTACATTTGCTGTGATTACGCTGTCCTTCATGTTTTGCGTAAGTCTACATTTTGCTGTATGTGCTTGTAATCTTTTTAAATATGTGCGTACAATTTTTGCAGGTCTGGTTACCCCCCTGTTATGTGATGAGAGTATTAATTTGGCAATTAGTTCCTTAGCTTATTTGAATAGAATTGCAGTGTAAAATTTTCAACAAGATGTTGGCGAAATAGCCCATTACTCTTTGTAGGTATTTCCCCCGTCAAAGTTTGTCTAAAATTATCTTTCAATCTTTACTCTTTCAAAGACAGTATAAAGTTACCTGACATATTTTCGTGTAAACTTAATGACAAGCCAAGTGTCTCCAGTTCATTCCGTACTCAATTTTACCCAAGCAAATTTTTTTCTTGAGTAGATCTTTATAGCACGGTGTTATAAGCTTACAAATTTGAAAAAAAAAAAAAAAATTGCGTACTGACGCAGAATTTGCGTTTCAAGTTATAAAATAATCAATCTTTTAAATTATTTAATATTTCAGATGAAATAATCTTCAGAAACAAATCCTCAAAGCATAAACGAATTAGGATAACGAACCATTTTATTATAGCAGTTCCCATTTTTTCTTTAATATAACGCTCTTTTTCCTGTTTTTCCTCAACACGTTTTCTTCCACGGAAGCTTCAAGATACCCTGAGAGCAATTTCTTTTATTAATGTTCGCGACCGTGTTTGAACTTAATTGTTTAAGTATTGATATTTAACGTCATTTACAAATACCAATAAAATAACCCCATGAAATAAATGAGATATATTGAAAAATATGAAAGCCCACCAAGACGAGTTTCATACCTGTTATTACCTGGCTTGGGAATTGCAGCGGTGCATAATTAACAGGTTTGTTGTAAACGAGCTTTTGGTCAACTACAATGCATTTAAAATGCATCAGCAATCAGTAAGTTTGCCAACTGATGACAGTTAATCTGAAAGACTACCAGCTCTTGATATGATCTAAACCACCTGAGGTGACCATGATCTAGAGCATTGCAACTATTGTCACCGAAGGTAGTAAGTCACGGAAGACCGTCACAGACAAAGAAAGATTGTCAACGAGAGCTGCAATTTTGGTGAATCCCACGGCAACACACCGAGGCATAACGAAAATTCCTCTACTCCGTTCAACACAACTTTCCTTAACTTCTCCGTCTGTATGCACCACGTCTGTATGCAGCTCAGTTGAGTCTCATAGACCTTTATCGTGATTGTCGTCACAGTACCACGTGACCCAGATCTGTTGCTTCATTTTTGCATATTGAGGTGAGGTTTACTAAAACGCTTTTTTTCTACTAATAGATTGTTTTTATAATTTTTAAATGGCGGGGATCGATTAAAACATACCTCTAGTGTATAGATTGAGTGCTGTATCTTCAAAATTCGAGAAATGGATTTTTACATGAACATTGTCCTTTAATGTAGCATATGCCAATTAATTTTAATGCTATGTAAAATGTGTAAGGTAAGATGACGTGTGACCTGTTTAGGCTCCCAGGCTATTAAAGATGAATTTTCTAGCCCATACACTTCAGTGTCTATTTCTGTATCTTTGCTTCTTAGTAAATAAAATAGGCCACAGAAGATGCTGATGATAAAATACATAAGTTTCAGGTCCTATTTCTGCTCACTGAACCCTAGTAGTTTGCATAGGGCTGTGCTCTGTTCATTGACTAACTACTGTAAAATGTAAATTTTCTATGTGCAGTACCCTTTATTAACAATTTTTATGAACTGCAGGAAACACAAAATGGTGGCTAAAATATGTCTAGATGATGTTGTTACCATAGCGACATGCAAAGCATCCTGGTCTGCTTCACTGTACACTGCCACTGTACGTATGCCCATCTTCTTCGCTGTCCGCATCACACGGCACGCTATCTCACCTCTGTTGGCAATCAAGACTTTGTTGATTGGAGTGGCAGGAGCAGCTACAACAACATATGGTGAAATAAACATTCTGTCATAAAATTCTTTACATCTTCTGAACCACAAAATGTGGCAAGCTTGACCATAACTGTACCATGGCCATTCTAGTCACTGTTAACTGTTGTTCCTGTAGCTAATGGTGATGTGGGTCTGTCCACAGTGAATGCAACACAGTACCAGGGCAGCTGTAATCAGAGGACATGCAAATCTCTTTTTGAACTCATCTCTAAATCTGGGCAATCTTTGCTCAGCCTGTGCCTGTGAGAAGAAACTTTATGCCACTGTCAAATGTGCAAACAGTGCCATACAGAATCTCCCCCATCACAAGGACATCATTAGTACATGTAAAACATTGGTCAAAAGGTTGAAGGCAGCATCACCGTCAACAGGAGGTAATTACAGTACGCTGTAAATACACACGCTAACAGACGTGACCTTTAACGAGCACACCCTAATGCTAAATGTGTAGGTTTGGTGACATTTGGTGGCGTCTTTTCAATAAAATGGACATTTCTTTACCTCTGTGGAAATCAGTGAAATGTCGGATTTGAGGAGGTACATGTAATAAATGTGAATAAATGGTATTAAATATTGATATCTTCACTGCAAGTTTGTATTTTCTGTTCCACTAATCGTGTTAGTTATGGTGCCTGGAATGAAAATCACTATTTATAACAATTTCCACCTGAGATATGATCATTTATAAATTAAAACACATGATACTGGTAGTGGGACAACCTTTTTGACCAATGCTGAATGTAATTTATTTACTAGTATATCATTAACACTTGGCTTTACAATCAAGTACTAGCTAGTACTATGTCAGAACATAATAAATACACAATAATTTTGACCTCATTTATACAATATAGTATTAGAGCCCATTCAATGTTGTTTTTTTTTTCAGTTTGGATTTAAAAAATTTAGGAAAAATATAAATAAAAAGAATTCCCATTATTATATAATTCTATACACAACATGGTTTTCCTCTATTTTATCTTATGTTTATATCGGATATGCAATCAATGCTTTATCCTTAAATATTATTATTATTATTATTAAAAGCTGTGATACTCACCTACAGTAGTGGAATACCAGCATTGTGTTGCAGCTGATGGAGATAGTCTTTGCAAGGGCCTTAAACAGAACATGATATTTGCATGAGACTTGGTGTCAATGTTTATTATGAAAATGCTGGTAGGCCCACGTGTGTGAGTTTCCAAAATGGTGACTATGGCCAGTAATGTTTTTGCATTAGCAACACCTGGCGCTAGGGGTGCTATACACCACTGAACCTACATGAGCAATAGCTATTACCAAGTGAAAAAAAAAAAAAAAATATATATATATATATATATATATATATATATATATATATATATATATATATATATATATATATATATTCAACATATGACAACAAACACACTAACAGTCATACAACTTCAAAATGATATGGACAAAAGTATGCATTTTGATTCTTTTTCTAACAAAAAACGTTTAAACAAAGGATTATTAACATGATTAAACCTAAAGGTAGATATATAAACAAAAAATCATTAAGATAAACGATAAATTAAAATTGATATGGATAAACTTGGTGTTGACTAGTATGTAAAAAAAATTGTCAAAAATTATATGGACATAAATGGAAAACAAATTATATAGGATGGAATAAGATTGTCAAACACAAAAAAGTAGATAAATGAAGACAAGGAATTTCAATAGATAATTGCTATGGCAATTACAAATTATATTCCAATATGGAAAAATTATGTTTTGACTATTAAACATAAAAACACAGTACAATATCTAGACAAATTTACCTGTGATTTTATACACATAGTGTAACATATTTTAACCATTTAGAGTAATCTCTGTCACCAGCTTGCGGACTAAACTGTTTTTTAGATCAAACCATTTTCATTTGGGTCTTTAAACACAATAAAATATTTAAATTGAATTTAAAAACCCGTATTGTGCCTATAGCAGCATATTGTACTAGTAGTATACTATCGGTGGCAAGTTGACATACTTTTTTTCGACACCACAACGATCGGAAATAGGCCTACTAGTAGGTTTTTAATCGGCAATACAACACTTTTGAAAGTAATTAGTTGTGGCTGTCATACATTAGGGTCAAATGACGCACTAGATCATATTTTTTGCGTCAATTTTAGGATTCATGCGTATTTTACGCATGACGCAGAGGTAAATAAAACACTATATATATATATATATATATATATAGGACAGTTGTTTCTTTAGCCAATTTAAGTCAGTTTTAGCATTTGGCTAAACTGGCGAGTGTTAGCGCTACCCCAGCGCTACCCCAGTGTTAGCGCCAAATGCTAAAACTGACTTAAATTGGCTAAAGAAAAAGGGCTTGATTTGACATGTTTTAGCCAAATTATAACCATTTTGATAACAAATTGACAAAAATGTGGTGATTTGGCTAAGTGAAAAAAATTGCTAGCGCTACCCCAGATTTATATATATATATATATATAAATTTTATTCTCAAACAAAGAAGAAATTTTAATTTAAAAAGATATAGAGGAGGCAGTGATTAATATATAAGATGAATAACAAGAAGTGTTTCATAAGGCTGTATAGGAGAACAGGGAAATTGTTAAGCCTCATTTCACAGGTACGTTTAGGACATTTCATGCACTATCAATACGACAAAAGTGCAAAATGTTAAATAAAATGGCTAAAGGACGATTGTTCGTGCTAGAAGCCATCATCTTTATGCTGGTGATCAAACCTTCATACACTGTACAGAAGCAATGCTAAACATCAGCAATGCTCCCCGTATCGCCAAATCGTTCCATCAAACAAAATATATTGCACACATACATCCATATTATCTAGACTTACGGGAACGAAATGAGTTAAAGCGTGCAAAGCCACTTTTATCTCTTTTTACCTGTATTTTGAAGACAGGACTGGAAAGCTCGACAACCTGCTCGCCATTTTGTTGACCTATTTATGGATGACAAAAATAGAAACGCGTTGGCCTAGTTTTTGCAGTCGGCATAAATAAATAAATACTTATTGTGACAGTTAAATATTATTTCTCAAGCATTTTAAATGTATTTTTTATGTGAGGAAACAACGATTTTATGACAAATTAGAATTTGACAAGCTAACCATAGTTCTTAACCGTACCAAATAGCACCGTTCGCTCTCTAAAATACGAAACTTTCGCAGGCTCCGAACCCCACGCCAAGTGAGGGGGCTAGGGTCGGCTTTGCATCCGCGGACCCCCCTTTAAATAATCCGCCCCTGTAATAGTATTACGATGTACAGTAGTAGTAGTAGTGGTAGTGGTGGTAGAGCCTACATGTGCATGTAGTACTTTATTTTCAAACAAACATTAAAAAAAATTAACTACCGATCCGGCAGTGTAAAGGAATGGGTTTTCGATATTACAAAAGGATGTATTTTTGATTGCTCACCATAAGCACATAAAGCTAGCTAGCTATTACATCACTTGAATTACAACTGGCCGTTTATAATTCAAGGCAATGCTATTTTTAATCCAAATTTACAATTAAAAAAGACAGTTCTTATGTTTCAATGCACACGGGAAATATTTTAAGACTAACAGTCATACGCACCCAAAAACAGTTGGACTTGAGAACCTTTTCCGGACTTTCGAAATTGGCAGTTTGACCGCTCTCCGAAACAAGACAAATTTGATCTCTACTGAATGAAGTTCAACCAGAAAATTATATAGGCCTATGTGATGTCAACTTGTCGACAGTTGTGCAAATAAAAATTCAGTTGAATACATTATAAAGGATAAGACTGATTTCAGCAGTTTCAGGCCCACTTAGGCCTATGTAAATGTAGGTCTACTGTCCGGTTGACGCCCAGCTTCAAAGTGATTTCAAAGTAAATGAATGTTTAATTCTCATCTTTTAAAGGTTGATTTTTAATACTCAAATTTGGGTATGTCAACTTACAATCATTTTATAATTTATCTTACATATAAAATGTTTTTTCATATAAAAGAAATTGAGCCGGTCATAGTTTTAATGGTCGACTTATAAGATTTCCATTGTTTCTAAAATGGTAGTCATTAAATGAGTAAAATTCCTTCAAGAAACCATAAAATTGATTTGCCCCTTTTGCTCATTATGTGTTTGCAACGTTCATAGTAGGCCTACAGTGGATCTCACACGTAGGCCTATATGACAGCTACATGTACCCTCTACCAGAACGACAGAGTGATTTTTCACAGATAGGCCCTATGTCTCTAAATAAATAGACAGTCATTTGGCTCTGTGTTTTTCCATTTTCTCTATATAATCTGCCACCCTGGTATAGGGTATGTGACAGCATGGACATGTAGGCCTACAGCTAGGCATGATATCATTCCGCTCGAGATTACGCTACATTTACGGTGTATTTAGAATATTGCTTTACGCCAATCTTATATATGCAAAAACTACACAAGGGGGTGATAAAATAAAAATAGACAATTTTACTTGATGTTTCAATCAACAGAGACGTGGATACAAAGAAAAATGCACTTGTTGTCATGGCAATGAGAAAAGGGGGGGGGTAAATGAAATTGAAAATAATTTTTGTGCATCATTTTAATAAATTTGTCGAAATCTAAAATTCTAAATTTGAAATTCCTCCCAAAACACACTGCTTATAGAGAAGCTCTCTTAAACATATGCCAAATAAAAGGTACGGCCGTAAGGATGGATACATGCATTAATTATATAACCCTTGTAGCAATGTGTATAAATGCGCCCCTAATTTTTGGCGGGGTTGCTGTTAGGAGACCATTGATCACCGCCAGGAATCGTCTACGTGAGGTCAGATAGAATACCGGAATTCTGGCATAGACACCAGCCAACAACTGGATGACGGGAACCGCACAAAATTTAGCAATGAGTAAAACTTACAAACAGGCTCGAAATACGGACAATATACTTTTAGGTTTGATAACGCGTTAATACTACTTCCCAGATTCGAGGTCAAAATATTTAAGTGTAAATCGCTATGAGGAAATCCAACGCTGACAACAATAACCAGTTTCAGTTTTTTAATGTTCACTCGTTGTTTGCTCAGGTACATTCTGACGATCTGTCGGAACTCCCAGTCTTTAATTTCAAACCATTATAAAGGATTTTTTAACTTTAATTACTTCTTTTTTTTATTTTATTGAAAAAATTTCAGTACAAGAATGTACATATACCTAAATATGGTAAATGCACACTCACTCTCTCTCTCTTACACACACTCTCTCTCTCACACACACGAATATAAGTTTATAATCTCATGAACAATAGGTGTAATAATAATAGTAATAATAAAGATCGATACCACAATGAATACAACCAAAACTACAATAGATTATTAAACAAGAAAAAAGTGCAATATATTATTTTGTTGAAGCTAATTAAATTCAAACATGTCTGACCAATTTTCCCATTTTTTTCAAAGTTTGTTAAATTTAGCTTTTTTAATGCATTGAATCTTTCTATTATAAATTGATCCTTTATGTAATTTAGATAAAGATAAAGATAAAGACGCATACATTCTTTCTTTTTGAAACTTTTGTAAATATAAAATTTCGTACAAAGAATAACAAAGCTAATTGGGCTGTTTGGGTTTGTTGGATAGCCGAAAAGGATGCATTTTTCATTAAAGGTAATGTTTTTATTCGTTCTGTTAAAGATGTAAGCTTTAAGTTCTTCCCAAATTTTCTTACTATACGCACATTGGAAGAAAGTATGCGAAATGTCTTCCCTGGCAACGCCACAGAGAGAACAGACGTCATCGTTCTCAATCCCTATAGTTTTTAAATATGATTTAACAGGCAGGAGCCTATGTATTATGCGGTATTGGAACCACTGCAGTTTGGTGTTCTTTGTTGTTTCGAAACAGTTCTTATAGACATCTTTCCAATGTACATCAAAATTTGACTTTGCGTTCCATTTTTTTTTTCATTTGTCATTCGTGTAGCTGGCTTGTAGAGAGTTTGATAAAAGTCTCTACAGCCTTTACTATGTTTGATAAGAAGCTCTATTGCTTGAGGCAAAAATGGGTGAGAGTTGATCTCAAGAACATCGTTTTGTGTTTTATTCATAAGCCTGTGCTTAATAGAATTTCGTATACCGTAAAATGTAAGCGCACCAGTTTTGCAGGCTAAATTTTTGTTCAAATGCTTCCTTTGTTAAAATTCTGTTATTTTCAAGAAAATCGCCAACAATTTTGACGCCTTTGTTAAACCATTTTCTTATAAACACAGGCTTGCCTCCAATCTTAAAATTGTCATTATACCAAATCGGCTCCACAGATATTATACTTTTTCTTTCTAGTAAGCGTGTTATCACTACTTTCCAGGAAACCAGAACATCTTTCCAAAAACAGTTACTACAGTCCTTAATAAGCTTGTCTAAATACGCATTCCCAAAGGCAAATATATAACTTATTACATCTTGATCAAAAATAGCCTGGAGAAGTGGAGCATATATGTTGTCTGTCTGATAAATTCTTCTAATCCAAGTACATTTAAGAGAAGCAATAAAGTCAAATAAATCTAACATCTTAAGACCACCTTGTTCATAATTACCAGTTATTACACTCCTTTTCACTTTTTCCGTCTTTTTGCCCCATATAAATTGAAAGAACATTGCGTTTAATATTTTGATGTATGTTTCATCTGGATTGGGAAGAGAAATGAATAGGTGGTTTAACATGGGTACAACAAGGGTTTTCAGTACAGTGATTTTGCCAATGGGCGTCAAAGGTCTCCTTTCCCATTGTTGTAACATTCTTTTAATTTTTACGATGTACTGTTCAAAATTAATTTTTATCATATCCTGCAAATTCAATGTAAATTCAATACCTAACAAATTAAAACTGTCATAAACCCAATTCATCTTCCATCTTACATGGTGAAATACCTCCTTGCTTAACTTCTTTGCGCCAATCCAAATTAGCTTAGTCTTACTCTTATTTATCGCCAAACCTGATATTTTTGAAAAAAATCAAGTGTATTAAATGCTGCAAGAAATGAGAGTCTGCTGCCGTTGAGAATGAGGGTAGTGTCGTCAGCATATTGTGATATTCTAAATTCTGTATTCTCTATCTTTATACCAGTAATATCACTATTATTCTTGATCAATAACGAAAGTATTTCAGCACATAAAATAAAAATGTACGGGGAGAGGGGGTCACCCTGGCGGCATCCTCTTGAGATTCTAAAGTATTCGGATAAATGACCGCACTGACTAATGGAGGCGCTGCAGTCGAAATTTCATATCCCAAACCATTTTTTAATTGCGTCACCAAAATTGAAGAAGTCCAGTACATTAATTATAAAACACCAGTCAACCGAATCGAAAGCCTTTTCAAAATCAATCAAAACAAGCAAGCCTGGAATATTTCGTTTTTCTGTGATGTGCATTAGGTCATATATCAACCGTGTGTTTTCTCCTATATAGCGGCCAGCTAAAAACCCAGATTGAGAAGGGGAATTTAGTTTGTCTTATACAGTTTTCATTCGTTCAGCTATACATCCGGATATTAGTTTATAAAATACATTTAATAATGTTATAGGTCGCCGATTTTGTAAAAATTTTCTATTCTTGTCCCCTTTCGTGATACAAGCAATAATGCAGAGTTTCTGGCTAGTTGGTAACCTTTCTTTACGAAATACTTCATTTACCGTTCTGATCATAAATTCTTTCAAGTCTGACCAAAAAAATTTGTAAAACTCAGTTGTAAAACCGTCGGAACCCGGAGATTTGTTATTCTTCATTTTCTTTAGGACTGTAAGAAGTTCTGTCTTGGAGATTTCTCCCTATAACAGTTCTTTTTCGATATCATTTAATTTATAAGGCTTGTTTATTCTTGTAGGAGGAATATGATATAGTCGCGCCTCTAATTTCCATTAAAAGAGTTTAAAAAAAAAATAGCGAGTCATCAATAATGAAGGTAATAGACTCGTTCGGAATGTCATCTATATG